TACTTTATTATTAATAGTAAGCACTACTAGCTAGATAGGCTCTTAGCCTTACTACCTTACTTACTAGCTAACTAAGAGGTTGTTCTAGCTTATAAGGTTAGCTTTATATTACCTTTAGTGTTTAGTGTTTTACTTTATAATATATTTAGCTAGTATAGGTGCTCCTAGGTACTTAGGGAGCTCCTTTTTGCTGTCTAGATTAATAAATTACTAGACTTTACGTTAAGTAGTATAAAAGTAAAGCTTTATATACTATAGGAACTAATCTTTATATATAGTTAAAAGGCTATAAAGGTAGGTGTTAGTTAGTAGACTTACTGTTGCTTCTAAAGGTATTATAGGCGTAGGATAAAGTTAAAAAAGAGTATTAGTTTTTAAGAAAAGTATTTCTAAGCGTATACTGCTTTATAATAGTAAGGGTTATTATTACTTATAGATTAAGTTAGAGCTAGGCTTATAACTATTATTAAGTAGTATATTTAAGGGGTAATTTATATAGTTAAAAGTAGCTTATTTCTTTTATCTATAGTGCTATAATCTATATTCCTTAAATATTGCCTTGCTTAGTAGATTCTGCTATAAGTATCTATATTTAGGAGCAAGGGTTAGATTAATAAGCAACATTATTCTAGAAAGCAGTGTTAGTTAGTAATATCCTATATAATATAGTTATATAAAAATAAAGGTATTTATAAATACTCCTTAGCCTACCTAAATATAGCCTTACTAGTTACTACTTAACTAATATAAAGTTATAATAACTTTATTAATAATTTAGGCACCTATTAGTCTACTACCTTTATAAGGTTCTTTATAAGGCTAATTATAAGGTTAAGGTTAAGGCTATTAAGCACTTAACTAAATACTACTATTACTACTAGCTTTATAAAAAAGCACTTTTATAATTTAGATTTACTTTATATAATAACTATTCTTTTAACTATAAAGTTATTATTAATATTATATACCTTAAAAGTAACTAACTAGTCCTTTATATTATTAATACTATAACTACCTTTAATATAGTATACTTTCTTTATAATATTTTAGTAAAGACTATATAAGAGGCACTTTATTACTACTAGATTAATGTTTACTAAGGACCTCTAGACTAGATTATTACTAATATAGGCAAGAACTTTACTATAACTAAATTTTTATATAAAGCCTATATAATAGGTATTAAAGTTAAGATTATCTTTATTAAGGTATACTATAGTATTAAAAAGGTTAAATAATACTATATAGTGCTCTAATAGGCCTATAAAATTATATATAAAGAGTACTTAACTACTAACTAAGAATTTATTCTTTAGAGTATAGTTAAGGTAGTTAATAACACTATAGGCCTTAATAGCCTTATACTAACCTTCTTAGTATTTAGTGCTTACTTTTATATAACTACTAACTTTACTCTTTTACCTAATATTATTTAATAGGTAACTACTATCTAAAAGGCTACTAATAACCTCTATAAGAGCTATATAATATACTAAGTTTATAAAGCACTTAAGGTATATAATAGCCTAGATACCTCTACTATTAAGGACCTACTATTAAGTAGTAAAGTATAAGTATAGTATAAGAAAAGTAAATAGTTTAGCCTATACTACCTACTATTTATTAATAGTAAGGATTATACTATTAATATTAATAGCCTATATAACTTCTATTTTACCTTAGTTAAGCCTTACTATACTAAGAAAGAAATAAATAAGCCTATTAATAAGAATCCTTAACTTAACTAACCTATAGATACTAACTACACTAGTAAATATATAGAGGATACTATTATTATTACTATAAGAATAAAAAAACCTATTTAAATAGTAACCTCTTCTCTTTTATAGTATACCTATAGGTAACTATATAAGACCTTAGTTAATATACTACTATAAGAAATAGATAAACCTTCTAGTGTCTTCCTTTTAACTAAAGAAAAAGCTAACCTAGTACTTATATAGTAACTATATAACTAAGGTATTATTACTACACCTAGTAAGCCCTTTAAATAGTTAAGTAAAAACAAGATCTAAGGACTTATTAACTATAGTATATTTAAGATTATTATATATAACCCTTTTATTTACTAAGGCTATATTTTTAAATCTTACCTTATTAATAAAGTTAAAGGTAAAAATAATAAGCTATATAAAAAATTATAACTTATAGTATAAGGTTATAGTAATAATAGTAAAAAAACTTTACTAGTTTAGTTACTTGTAATTTAAAAAGCTAGCTAGTATATAATTCTTATACTTACCCTTTTCCTTATAGCTAATAGTAAGGTAATATAGCTATAAGATATAATATAGGCCTATATATAGTTAACTTTATAACTTAACTATACTATTTATATATAACTTCCCCTTTAGATCTATAATTACTACCCCTAAGGCACTATTATAAAGGTAGTAAAGTTATTATATAGCCTTACTAAAGTAAGTACTTATTAGTAAGTAACTTATAACTACTACTACTATAAAAAGCTTAATATAGTTACTACTTTATATAACCTATACTTACTTCTTTTATCTATAAAAAACCTTAACTTTATAATAATTAAGATATAAATAAATAATATAATTAGCTTAACTAGTATTAATTTCTTTAAATATAAAGATAATAAGCTTACTAAGGTAAAGCTTCTTATAAAAAAGAAAATTTTACTTATAAAGAATAAACCTTTAGTATTTAATAAAAGAATTATCTTATTAACTTTAGCTAAAAACACCTTTATTATACTTTACTAGAAGAGCTAAGGTATAAAGCTAAGACTTATTAATAAAAAATTACCTATAGCCTAGTAAAACTATATCTAGTAGTATACTTAAGGTATATATATTACTTTTATTTACTAGCCTAAAGTATACTTTAACTTATTTACTATAGCTTAGTATAAAAAGCTAGATAGTAAAGCTATTTAGTAACTTAACTAGAGAATCTAGTAGTAAATAAATTTACTTAACTATAGCTTTACCTTTATTCTCTTTAACTTACTTAATATAAAGCTCTTTATATTTATTAATAAATCTTTTATTAATAATTATAACTTAACTTTATAGTTAGAATTTATTATTCTTTTTATTAATAAAAAAGTTAATAATAAGTAAAGTAAGTTTACTCTCTATAGTAATATCCTTTATTTTTTATTAACTAAATCTAAATAAGTAATATAAAGTGTTCTTATATTAGAAGTCTATAGTATAGTTATAGGTGTTAATATAGTATATACTTTCTTTATAACTATTATAATAGTAGTAAATAAGCTTAGTAACCTATTAATCTTTATTATTATTTATACTAACTTATACTTACTATATAAGTGCCTAGTAAAGTTAAGTACTATTTATAAAAAGTACTTAATAATTAATATTATAGTACTATAATAATTATATAAGTAATATAAGTTTTTTAAGGTATAATAAATCTATAGTAATAATAACCTTACTAATAAGTTTATAAAGTTTTTATTAAACTAAGTACTTAAAAGCCTTATTTTTTATAATAAAGTAAAGATATAAATAAAAGGATAAGTTATATATATATAATAAAAAATAATAAAAATAATAAAATATAAAATAATAAACACTTAAAAAAAAAATAGGCTATATAAACTATATAAATTAATAGTAGTTAAATCTATTTAATATAAGTATATACCTTTAATAGCTATAGCTAAAGAGAAATATACTTAAATAAGATAATATAAGCCTATCTTTACTAGGTAATAAATAAATAAATTTATAGTAGTATATAATTATAAAAAGTATAATACTTTTATTCTTCTTATTTTTATTATATTTTTAGGCTTTTTAGGAGAAATAGGAGCACTAGTAACTTTTACTATATAAGAAAGTTACTAGTGTTAGTATATAGGTAATATAGCTAAAGGTAGTAGGTTATATAATATACTGCTTACTAGTAGAATCCTCTACCTTTGCCTATACGCAAGGGTGCTACTACACTTATGCTTTTACTTTACCTTATTAACTAGTTAACTATTAATAACCACAAATTTGACCACCTTTTCCTAACCTTTGTGATATTACGAGATACGGGATCCCATCAATTAACCAGTGAAAACCAACACTATCAAAACGTGCCCAAGAGAGGGCGGAAAGCTGGGAGTTGAGCCCCGAGCTGATTTGTCCAAGTCATCTTGGCGAACCTATGAGACTGTTTCAGTTCTCAAGGGCATGGCCATACCTAGATATGGGCCAATCTCCACAATCAAAGACAGTGATGTTGGCATCAGTTGCAGTTGATGACTGGCCCGTACCGTTTCGCCTCAATTCCAGCGTCGCCCAGCCGCACCTTGGCTTCAGTCATCCTTTCGGCCTGCAAGGTGCTGCACGTTATAAAGATTGCCCAAAGCCTCTGGGTTTCCTCTGTGCTCCTCGAGTATGACTTCTTCGCTATAACCCTGCTTCCATACCTGGCGTAACACTTTTGAGCAGCGGATTTGGTAGCCAGCGAGTCAAACGATGGATTCTCTCACGACGACATTTACGCCGCCGACGTCCTGTTCGACAACAGGGATCAGTTTCGCCACGATTTATGATAATGGCAAGATACGGTGCTTTGGGACGAGTGGCAAAATGGAATATTGTACCGTCAAGCGAGCGGTGATGGGAAACGGTCAAAGTGGGAGGCTCTAGCCTTGAAGGACGTGTCACTGATTCTTGGCTGAGGGAGAGAATGTGCTATACCGAAGCCATTTGTACGAAAAATCCATCTCCTCGTCTCAAGGCACTTCAAATATGGCCACCTGACAATATTTCTCAACTGGTCTTTCTCAGGGACTCAGCTTTCTCGTTAAGCACGACAGATGGGCCGCGTCACTCGGAGACATCTCTCCCCATGTTAAAACATGGCGCAGCGCCCTTGGCATACATGTCTTAGCTTCTAGTAGTGCAAGCCATTCCAGCTCATCCTTATAATTATCCACCAGAACGCCTTTTGAAGCGTCATCAGAAACGACCTCGACCCCTTCTGGAATGGCTGAGCCCATCATTCCAATAAGCTCATCAGGCGAGGCACAGGGTATCGCTTATCGTGCCCTGGACCACACTACGTATGAGTTCCGTCTCTTATACCTCGAACCTACTGCTGCCGAACACGAAAATCCTTCGCAAGATGACAAAGTGATCGGCGAGCTTCATCATTTCCCTCTCAGTGGCTCTCCCCCCTTCGTCGCCCTCTCGTACTGCTGGGGCCAGAGCGGCGCTGAAAGCCCGATCGTGATCGATGGCACCGTGCAGAAATGCGGCTCCAATGGTGAGGCCGCCCTCCAATATCTTCGCAATACCGGGGGCGTCTACGTCCGGATCGATCAACTATGCATCAACCAGAGCGACAATGCCGAAAAGGGCCACCAGGTTCGCATCATGCTCCAGATCTACACGGCCGCCACCCGGGTCGCTGTATGGATGGGCCCCCCCGGAGACGATATCGACCTGTTCTTCTCTCACACCCGCGCTATGAGTGCCTTGGTGAGAGAGGAGAAGTACGTCGACGTGGTGCGGGCCCACGCCGACATCGTCTTCCTCCAGAGAGTATCCCACGCGCTCCGCGCGTTCTGCAAGAGAGATTACTGGACTCGGGTGTGGATTTTCCTGGAATTCGCCGTTGCGGTCGATCTCGACATACTCTGCGGGCATGCATCCATAGGGCACGCCGACCTGAGAGAGTTCCTAGTCTTCCTCAGCACCATCTACGATAAACTCACCAGGATCCAGGAGGAAGGGGGCCAGGAAGTGATGGAGACGCTTGTGGAGATGCTCCGCGGCTTCAAGACCCCGGCGAACAACTTCCTCGAGGGCGTCTTCACCCGGCGGCGCAGGTACCAGCTGCGGCATGGCGACCCGTCCGCACGTCTGGCCACGCGCACGATCTCCGAGGTAGAGAATGGCATGACGGTTGGCAGCGAGAGTCTCTTCGCGGTGTTGGTGACAACGCTGGTGATGGAGATCGACTACAATCAACCGCAGTCGACGGATCACCGGGACCGCGTCTTCGCCGTGATGCATTTTGCTGACGACGTCGCCGAATTTGAAGGTCTTTCGGACTACAGCCTCAGCTGCGAGCAGGTGTATCAAAATATCGGCCGGCGCATTCTCCTTCAGGGCAACATTGATGTCTTGTCGTACTGCCAATTTCCACGCGATAAGCCTTTGGCAACGTGGGCACCCGACTGGAGGATGGGGATCAGGAGACCAAACAACGGGAACCCGTGGCGCTCAAAGTTCGATGCCTCAAAGGCCTCGTTTCAGGAGCAAGCCGTTCTCATCCCGGATGAAAAGACTGTACAGCTGCGGGCCGTTCTAGTCGATGCCGTCGTGGAGACGGGCAACGTCTGGGACCCCAACTGGGTCGAGGAGCTGGACTGCAAGGCTGCGTTGGAATACCTCGACGACGTCGAGAACCTGTGCAAGAAGTCGCCCATGTTCGCCGAGAAGATCAAGGCCCAGGACTTCAAAGACGTCATACGCATCTGCACCGCGGACCGCTACCACTACAAGGAGCCGGAGAGACAGGCCGAGCTTCTGGAGGGCTTCGCCCAGGCGGTCGTGTGGATGAGCAGAGGCGCTGGGAAGTTCGCCGCCGAAATGGAGGATATGGGCATCCGTATAGACGACACTATCGGGTGGCAGCAGCCGTGGTTCCTGTCCGCCCTGAAGAATCTCCACTCACGACGGCCGTTCCTCTCGGCGTCGGGGTACGTCGGGTTGGCTCCGATGCATGCTCGGCCAGGAGACAAGATCATGATTTTCCTTGACGGGAAAACGCCGTATGCCATCCGGGAGACGGAAGAGGGCTTTTACGAAATTGTGGGGGAGTCGTAAGTGCATGGCATCATGTATGGCGAGATCCGCGAATTCATGATGCGATGAGCGGACGACAGACAATGCGTGAGCGGCATCTGTTCGTTTATTCATTCTGGTCTGCGCTCTTGGGACCGGACCGCAATCGTCAGTTACCGTGCGACAAGTCTCTACTAAGAGGTGAGCAATAAATCCTGCCCTCTCGCAAGTGCACGTTGTCGGAGTACCCGTAGGGTGCCATATCCTTCCGCTCCGCTCCGTTCCGTTTGGCAGATTGCCCCAAAATCGTCGGTAACCGTACTAGTTTCCCACCAAGCCTGTCCTACTGACGGACTTCAAACTTGTCTTGGCCATCGCCGTAAAACCATCACCCTAACAAAAGCCAACAAGGATGGCCACGAACGAGGCAAAAGAAAAGATGACAAGAGTGGGATTCGAACCCACGCCAATTACTTGACTAGCACCTGAAGCTAGCGCCTTAGACCGCTCGGCCATCTTGCCTTGACTGCTGCTGGGAGAACTAAAATGACCATATATATATGTGAGCAAAACATTACGGCCATTCGAGGTGCCTAGCATGGATAGGTGTGGTGTCTAACCTACTCTTTTTTTTTTCTGTATCCTCTTGGCTACACGCCGTGAATGAGCAGTGGTCTGAAAACTGAAAAGCTTATAGCTGAAACCCTCCAGGATGAGGATGACGTCGACCGGCTGTTCGCTTGCATGCTGTGCTTCGAAACTAACACAGTTCGCAGAAACAGCCAACAATCATGAACCATAGCGTTTCTCCCTGTGGGCGCAACCACATGTCGCGACCAGGGTTTCCGTAATAGATCTGCATTTAAGTTGGATGGGCACCCATGATGAAGTATCATTGAACTACCCACGCACCCCTTAATTCTGCTCGTGGTTTAACTTGTTTTCTATTTGTATGTTTTCCAACTCTTGACATTTATTTTTGCGGCGGATGTAAGTACTACCTATCATTCCTGCAGTGAAACGGTCCCGGATAAAACACCTATTCTATTCCACTGCATAAGAGGCTTGCTGGCCAGCAAAACGTGCAGGTCCTCTGGCTCTTTTCAGCCTCAATCTGGGGAACCATTCGTCTCATACAGGCGCGAGAATCCGCCGATGCCAAAGGCGAAGAGAATGAATGGGGCTTCGGGCAGGTCTTGCCCGTGTTTCTTCTGTCGGGTCCAGTCACGGCGGTCGCTCTGACAGTTTTCGACACTTTTAGAAGTCACATGAAATCGAACAAGCAAGAGGAGGATGGAGAATCTGTCAGACAGCCTATAGCTTTGCTTACTGCTTATCGGACTGGAATGAAGGAACTTCGGTTCTCACGAGATGAGCCACTAATCCCGAAACAGAGATCACAGCAAAGCAGCGAAACAATAACGTTGTAATAAATCGAGTTTCAAATCTTCTCCGAGACATCGAGGCCGATATGAATATCAGGGCATCAACTGGGAGAAGGCTTTCTTCACCATCCAAGCTTGAGATTCTACTCGGGGAGTTTCGGCACTATCCATATAATACAGCCGGTACCAAGGCCGACGGCGTGTCGAGGCCAACATCCTCAATAGAAGCCCGCTCGAGAGATAATCGGGGGATCGTTTCATTGCCAAAGCAAGAGACTGTGACGGGGACGGAATACGTCGACATTCAAGCATCACTGTCTTCCCGCTTTTCGCAATCTCAGTGGATGACTATCGTTATGTGGTTTTCATGTTTACAGGGCTGGGGTCGGTGATCGTTGCATTTCTTTTGATTCCGGAAGTCTCCATTGAACCTTCTCGCTATCTGCATGACTGGGCTTTCTCTGTCTTGGTTGTACAGCCGCTTGATTGTTACATCGCTGTGATACTTGGGCTTTACATTGGTGATAGCCGAGCTTCAAAATTAGAGCTGGTACTCCTTTGCTTTATTCTATTCACCATACTTCTAAGCTGGGCTGGACTTCTAGTTCGGCTGAATACTCCATCGTATTTACAGATGTGGTACTTGGTTTCTGTTCCCTTCATTATCACACTTAATCAGTTTATTCACCTAAGCTTTAAATAAAAACACGCTTTATGTAAAGTGGTTCATAGTAATTACAAAAATTACAGCCTACCTTTACTACCTAGATATGTTTTTTGAACTTTTATTAGCCAGAAATTCTTAGTGAATATATTAATTACTAGTGGTCAATATAGGCTTGCATAAATATATGTGGTGCCCAGGCTTCTAATAAGGACGCTGCTCTTAATTATAAAATGCACAATGCTCTCTATACAAAATTAGGACAAGACCTCATGGATTGCCATCCCATACCCCGGCCCAACCGTGCGATGAGGTGAGTCATCTTTGGCTATGGTCTTGTGACAAAAGAAGTAGCTCTCGTTCGGTGGGAACCAAAGCATATGGCATGATTTTGCGAAGTAGATTTGCCCTGCCATTGCGCAAGCTGTACTGATGCGCCGCCTTCGCACACTTCCGTCTGGAATTACGGCTGACTCCGCCCATTATTGCCGTCGGCCAGGTTCTCCGTGCTCCTCCCGGCCTTCACCTCCTCCCTCCACACCGACCTCTCCGTCGTAGAGACGCCCGGCCCCTGATAGACGCTTCCGTAGAGGCCCGAGGCCCAGCTGGCGCCATCCTTGGCCTTCTGGCTCTTGCTGTCCTTGAATTTGCGGCGGTACCATTTCCCGTAGGCGAGGAGATAGTACAGCCTGAAGCACAGCAGCGCGAACTTGTCGTGTTCCAGGTCCTCCGGGTAGTCGGCGCCCATGTCAACGGCGGCGGCGATGCCGGACATGATGGCGACCTCGTGCGCGTTAACCAGGGTCCACGACGCGGCGAAGCGGGTGCGCTTCTTGGCCTGGAGGAACATCATCCAGGGCACGACAAAGACGTAGTGTGTCCACGAGTGGCAGAGCTGGTGCCACCAGTCGGCGCGGATGATCTTGTCCTTGTCGATCTCGTCGTCGGTCCAGTGCTTGCGGTCGCGGCCCTTGTTCAGGTATATGGTCTGAAAGACGTGCTGCTCGAACGGCACCTTCTGCGGGAACTGGCTCTGGTAGTTGGTGGTATCGAAGCACATCTCGAGCTTGGAGAGGTCGCCATCGTACATGCGGATGTAGTACATGGGCCTAAAGTTGTCCTTGGCGAACGCGAGGCGGGAAGAATGGTCCATGTCGCCGTTCTTGCCTAGTGTCTTGACTGCCTTTCCCTCGTCGTAAAAGTTCTCATAGTACTTCTTCATATAGTCAGAGTCGTTGTGCGTGATGGTGATGTCGTCGGAGAACTTGGCCGAGCCGAGGACCCTGCGCTCACGCCAGGACGACGTCTTGCCGAGGATCTTCTTGGCCGTGTCGGCAAGCACACAGAGAACGATCTCGTCGTAGTGTTCCTCGGACTCAATGGCGTCTGGGTCGCCGCCGACGGGGTTGTGGCCGTCCTCCACGGGGGTGCGGGGCTTGGTCTTGACGAAGACGCCGCGCTTGTTCCGGTGGACGACCTCGGTGAGCTCGGTGGACAGGCGGACGGTCACACCACGGGACTCGAGGTCCTTCTTCCAGGCGGTGTAGAAGTCAGTGAAATTGGGGAACACAACCATTGGCGGAAGGTTCGACACCACGCTGTTCTTGTCGGCGGGGTACCACATTCCGTAGGTCGGCGACGTGCAGAGGCGCTCGAGCATGATGGCCGGGACCTCCGGGGTCGCGTTGCCCGTGCCGAGGAACAGGGCGGTCATGGGGAGACCAACGACGTTTGTGAATTCGTCGGAGAAGAGGAAGAGCTTGAAGACGACCTTAAGCGGCAGCAGCGCGAAGAGGACCTCGAACCACCTCATGAACTTGAGCATGAACGCCAGACGGCGGACCTCGGCCTGGTGCTTCGCAATGAAGTCGGTAGGGAAGACATTTGTCCAGAACTTGTCGGCCTTGCCGAATGAGACCTGCAGCTTCACGGGGTCTGCGTGGTACCCCTGGCGGGCGAACATGGTCAGCGTATGGTGGAAGATGTAGCTGCCGCCCTGCACGCCCTGGTTGAACCAGCTTGCGCCATGACGTTCTTTGTCGAGGGGAATGGAGAATGCCTGGCCTCCGCAGTAGTCGACCGAGTCGATGATGGTGACATCAAACTTTTCGGGATGGTTGGACAGATGATAGGCCGTTGACATGCTGGCAGGGGTCAGTCAGCAAACACGTTCACAGAAAATTAATGTCGAGGGTTGATGAACATAGCAAACATGGAACGCACCCGGCCGCACCGGCACCGACGACGAGGACTCTTTTGCGCCCATCCTTGCCCGTGTTCCCGTTCTGCGACATGTTTTCTGGGCTGTTCCGCTCGATATCACAGTCTGTGGGTTGAGATGCCATCGATGGGATGGATGATGCAGGTTCAGAATCGCCGCCGTGGAAAACGAAACCGCTGACGAACCGCCATCAAATACGACGCAAGCTTGTATTGCTTCGCTTGTCTATGACGCTGTGACATAGAGTTTGATGAGGTCATTCCCCGCAACGCCATCTTTGTTGTTGATTCACCTACGCCTACAGATTAGCGATCGTCTTGGGGAATCGATCCGCCCCCCCCAGAGATCGGAACTAGCAGGGGGCTTAATTGTTAGCGGAGGACCCGACAACACACCACACACCCCTCTAGTTGTCTACACTAACAAGCCGAGGTATGAGTTGCTCCTGTAGCCAAGCGATCAGCATCCTGCGCTTATCCGTGTGATGACCCTGCGATTACCGTGGGCAAGTTTGGCTGCTATCACGCATCGGGGTTGACAATTGAGCCCCTCTGTTAGTGGACAGCGCGGCTAAATGGCCCTTGCCCACTAGACAGCCGTTATTCGCCCGGGGCTTAAGGAGGCCCTCGCCTTTTGCTCTCTATTGTATCCATAGGTATTATAGAGGGGAAATCTATATAGATATCTATGCATATTTTTAATCCTAAGTTAGGCACAGGATAATAGGCATTTGGACTAAGTGTGGTGTTGCTATCCTGTACAGAGTCTCGACCTGTGTGTTACGGCCAGTAGCCCCGCTATATAGCCCCTCGACTGTGTATCAGAGGTCCTCAAACTTGGGCGCCTCCTCACGGACCAGCCTCTCAGCAATGGCGTTGAGCCAGGCGCCTAACCTCACGCCGGCCTGCCCGATGACCTCCTCCACCACCTCCCAGTTGTCGTCGTAGTACTTCTCGCTCAGGTCGTTGCCCTTGAGAAACGTCAGCCCGGGCCGCAGCACATGTGAGCACACGAGCGCGTTAGATTCGCCCGCCCAAGCGGCTGCGCATGCCCCCGTGTCGAGATCGATGCACTGCTGAGCTGGCGAGGCGTCGATACCGGCCGCGGCCTGGCGGACGTGCAGGTCCGCTGCCCACGCCGCGGCGGCCTTTTTCTCGTCCGACGGGCTCAGATGCGGCGGCAAACCGCGGATGCGGTGCGGCATCTGTGTGTCCCAGACCGAGTGCAGGCTCATCGGGCCCGTGCAGACGCCGTCGCGCGGCTGGCGGCGCCAGCAGACGGGGCGGATATCGTTGCCGCCGCGGAGGAGGCCGGTGGCATGTAGGGGCTGGTGGATGTCGCCGAGGAAGTGGATAACGAACATGGTCGCGTTCTTGCGGTTGATGTGCGGGAGGGAGGTGTCGAGGATCTGGGAGGTCTGCGGAGGGGAATGTTGTCAGTCTCAAACGACTGAGAGGGTGAGAATTGGGTGGTTAGAACGGGAGGACGCACGTAGTTCTGGATGGCGGAGATGACGCAGCCGCTGGACGGGCAGTCTTGGGGATACTTCATGCCGCAGAGGCGGGGAGGGTCATCGCGGGGATCTGAAGCTGGTGAGCCGAGTGTCCAGGCGTAAGGCTACAATCGCGACCGGACAACGACGTACTGACGTAGTGATACTTGCTCGCCCAGCCCATGTGGCCCCGGAGCGTGTCGGCCCACGTGGCAGCGTCGGAGATGTCGTAGTTGCGGTCGTTGGCGAGGAGCTCTCCGAAGACGGCGGCGGCCTCGTCCGTTAGGTACTTCTCGGCCAGGTAGCCGACAGTGCGGTGGCCAACATTGCCCCAGGAGAGGGCCGGCTGGACGGCGGCGGCCGCCAACAAGGCGAGTGATGAGCGCATCGTGTGGTGTGGTGTGGTGTGGTGTCGTCGCCTTGTTGTACGCGAAAGAGAAAGAAATCGAGGTCAATGTGATTGCTCGCAAGACATTGAGTCGAGTCGAGCAGAGACACGGTGCTCTTATCGGATACCGCGACTAGCCTTCAACAGCTCAACTAGCCGCCTGTCTGCGACACACTAACCCCTTTAAATCGCGCTATCGAGCTATCGGCTCTCAACGTGGCTGTCATCTGATATGGCACGTCGAGACACCAGCCCTCGGACACCTCCGCAGCTGAGCTGTCGTCTTTGGGGGCACGGGTAGAATACCGGTGCAATTTGGTCGGCGGCCGGTGAGTTAAGCCTATTTTGGAATACATTATGTCAGCGTCAGCAAAAACAATATTCCGACCCGACTGACCAATAAGAAGGCCAAGATTTAGAAAGTTACATAAAGTCAAAAACTCTTTAGATTTAAGCAATTCATAGTGAAGGCAAAATAGAGGCAACAGCTATAATTAATTTAAAAACTTATTATATTATGTAATTTGTCTAATTAAAGCGTAGTACCCTTATTGCGATAGTATATCTGTATACGTTGCTGTTACTCTTTGAAGGTTAGATATGAGGGCTTAATCTTGGGCATTGTGGGCGTCTGTTGGCGATAGTGGATTTGCGGCAAAAAGGGCGTTTTTTGCATGGGTTATGGACGTGGGCAGTGGCGGCAGTGGCAGTGGCAGTGGCGGTGGTGGCAGTGCCTTCTAAAATAGGCTTAACTCACCGGCCGCCGACCAAATTGCACTGGTATTCTACCCGTGCCCGTCTTTGGGAGCTGCGATTGGAGGATATAGCATGACAGGGCTGAGACGGTTGGTTTCCGAGACATTGCTGGCGAGAGCTGCAAAGTCCCTGGCCGAGTCGGCGCAGCAGACATGTATTCGGATTCCACACTAGTAGATCAGGGAGCTGAGCGAGTCATAACGGCCTTTGCTAGGGATGGAGGTAGGTAAATCCTACACTATGTGAGCGAGTGAGGTTCGGCCGGAGTTGGTTAGTCGACAACGGCACAGAAGAGGCAAGCAGCAAGGTCCTCGTCAGTCAGCGAGCTCGCTCTTCTTGAGGCCAGCTATGGTGGGGTGAGCAGGGCTAGGAATTCAAGCTTTCACTATTGCCCAGGCGCATCGTTCGAAACCCATACCGTGTAAATGCGGTGTGCAGAGTGCCAAGCAAAGGATAGATGTGCTTCCAGTGTGGAGATTGACATGTGCAATATGTGCAATGTGCCCGTCGCGCTTCTGTGATGAGGAACCAATGGACGAAGACCTGTGCACAGAGCAGGTAGGCATGGAAGAAGGCTAAAGCTGCCAGATAACGGGATCCAGGGATGGCGCCTCACACATAAACTATACGTATAGGCGTTCTGTTCTACCACAGTACGGAGTACACTACCTAGGATGGTTGTCGAGTCAAGCCGGCGGCGGGGCCTTACCTACCTACCTAGGTAGGTAGGTATCCGTTCCTGCGATAAGATAAAGACGAGCGGTAGCGATGCCATTTATCAAGTGAGCCACTAGAGAAGGCGCTACGGTAGATTATCTGGCTGTAATTTGCAGACAGGTACAAGTACTATGTACCTAATCACGAACAGGAACAAGCATATCCCTGGTAGGTAGTTCAGTACGGATACGGAGTACCAGTATTAGACACCGCTTTCAGGCCCCCGACACTGCACAACTAGAGACATCACCGCCGGGGATTGCCAGTGGCTTCAGTCATTGTATCGCACCGAAATTTAGCTGCTAAGCAATCCGATCAGCCCTGTTTAACCTGATAAAGGCCTGGTTGCCAAGTATTCTGTTGTTAAATGTCGGAAATGAAAGAAGCAGTTCTGGCACGAGAGAATACGTTCTCGAGGGTAGGTACGTGCCTACCTACAGGGCTCTTTAGAGCGTAGCCACTTTAGCCACAGGGGCTTTTAGGGGGCCTTTTCCCTGCACTTCTCCTAAAAGCCCTGAAGGCCCTAAAGGCTCTTGTAATTACAGGTGCCCTCAGGGCACCTACCCCAACGTGACCGATTCGTCACCTAACCAGTAAGTCACGTGGCATCAATTCCTTCCGCATGGAGAAGGCGCCCCGCTTTTAACGCCGCGCGGGCGCCCGCTCCGTAGTACGGCGCCACTGCCGCGCCTGTTGAAGTAGAGCCCTCAAAAAACACAAGAACGTGGAAGACCAGGACCTTAGCTAGCTAGCAACGTAAAGCTGTCGTGGAAGAATAAGCTGTACTGGTTCTAGCGGGATGCATAGTCGCGAAGCAGGGTCTGCCAGAAAAAGTAAATTTTGTTAAGCCGGCCAAGGCGCACACCTGGGCCGGATGGACGGCAGTTCCCGAATAGCTGCGATCCACGCCAGCCACTATACTTCTTCGGGAATAAGGTGCGTCTCCCTGGCGATATGGAAGTCTCTCTTAAGCGGGATGAGGGCTTCGTACGAGATGAGGAAGCTGAGAGCGCGCTCCTATTATTCCTACCGAGCACTATAGGTGCATAAATCTGCGTTAATAGCGGGCACGCAATGGCAGGAGGGAAGTTTCGTCTAGAGAGTTCTTCTCTGTAACGACGATCTCACGGTTGGCCCTAGGGTAGTAGTCAGCAGCGCTTAGGTTGTCTGGCACCCGAGAAGCCTGCACTTCTGACACCAAAGCTGCGGGTGAAGCATATGACGCTCGAAATCGGCTTTTTCTCGCGAAGCCTGTGCCTATGAGTGCGGGGTTTCCCCCCCTAATCAAATGCTGGGAGCCAATGTCAAGAAATTTGTCGTAGATTACAACTACACAATGAGTAATCGCCAGGGCTTACTTGAACCTATTGGCGCATACAGAGCAACTGTTTTAGGTAGGTACCCACATACATCACCTCATGCAGTATTGTTGGATACACAATATACATTCAATGCAATACTACTGAGACTTATTAATTAAAGGGTGATTGTTGTGCTTAATGAAGGCTTATTTGCCTACCCTAGTATAAGTAGGGTTCTATATTATATTTACATATTGTTACTAGTTTTTTATTTATTATTTAATACATCTCTAGTACCTAGTGGCCACCATGACGCGAAGCGTAGGCTTGGCATGGTACCAGTCCAACGTCGAGTCGAATTCTCATGTGGGTAAGGTGGCTACTATCGAGGATGTACAGGATGATGGTAGGGAAGCGGACAAAACCAAAATTGCTGTTTGCGTTGAGAGGGCTTGAGTTTTCAAGAGGTCTGGTCTATCGCAGGCAATTTTGAAAACAGTCTATGCAGTGTTTCCCTGCCTAATTGCGATCTGGAACTCCCTAGTTCTTGCCACCAATACTTCAAAGCTCAAAAGGATGTAGTAGCATGTTTGGCTAGTCATGTCACTTGTCTATAGCTGTTACTAATTGAACTGCGCGCAAAGCCGTTTTGGTTCTGCAAGACGGAGGGGCGATATTTTATTGTTGGTATAGTGACTTGGACTATAAGCGTCCTATTCTGCCAACGATTGAGGTAAAACGTACGCGACCAAAGTACACTGGGGTACCTCAGTACGAAGTAGCAAGGCGAAAAGGAGCCGAGCAACCTAACTATTTACACCAAATTGTTCAACCCATTTTATGCTGTTCCCAGCACATCTATACACTGGTGTGCCCGTATACCTAAACAGTTTCCAGGCCAGCTTAGGCACCACAAACTCCTTTGTATACTTCCAGAGCAAGCTACTGTCCTCGCCCTTCCATGCAGCTCCAGTCCAGTGCGTGTTTCTCTCTCCCTGCAGCGAGTAAAGCTTGTCGTAGATGCCGTTCTTGATGTCCTCGACGCGGAGTTGTACGGAGAGTGGGCGTGGAACGCGACAAACTCGGGCTCGGTCTTTTCGAAAAGATCCGGGTTTTGCTTCAGGATGCGCTTGGCGGTGTTGATAATATCCGTCTTCACCTCTTCATCGGTAAGGGGCTCGGACTCTGAGGTTTCCGGAGTGGAATAGGTGGTAAATGGCACGCCGGGAATTCTCGAAGCGGAGGAGCTGTACGCCGCCGGCAGGAACGGAAGATCGTATTTAGTGTTGCCCTCGGCGGCGTTGGAGATGCTAGCGTTCTCGAGGAAGCCGGAGTTCTTGAGGGCACCGACGTAGTAGCCCGCGTCGATGTACTTGCTGAAGACCGACTTCTCGGTGCGGCTGAGGTCAACGGAGCCAGGTAGTCGACCTTTGGCGGGATGGCAATGGCCAGTTTCTTGGCGATGATGAGCTTGGTACCGGTGGGAGTGCGGACAACGAGCTTGACGTCCGAGTCATTGTTGGGGCGGTGGGCCTTGACGACCTCAGAAGAGAAGAGAACACTCGAGTCAGAAGACAGCTCTGCTTGAGCCTTGAGGAAGATTTCGCTCATGTTGCGGCTCAAGGGGCTGATGGATCCACTCCCGGCACCTTGGACCACGTGAAGACTCTCTCGAGAAGATAGAGTACACCAGAGAAGTTGACTGTTAATCTTAATGACGGTGCTATTTCAAGCCTTCAAGGCGGCATCAATAAGCTTCCACGTGTGGTCTGCAATCTTCCCCACCTGCTCCTCTGTACAGACGGGCTTGTTCGGAAGCACCCTCCCCTTGTTATCAATGTAATGCCAAAAACGTCCGCCTTGCTTGCCCCCCGCCGCCGGTGCCGTGACCCTGTCGACGCCGTCCATCAGGTACTCTGCACATCTGGCAGGCGTCACGGTAATGAGCGGGGCAAGCAGCTTGACAGTGGCCCCCAAAACCCACGGCATCTCCCTCATGAGACCCTCCGTGTTCACGCCGCCGGGCCATGCGTGTATGAAATGCCGTCTGGCGGCGGCGGTGCCCTGTTGTTGCTGCTCCTGCTGCTGCGCGGCATAGCACTGGATCATGACGTCGTTCATGACCTGGCAGTGGTTGGCGGCGGCGCCGAGGCTGAAGTGCGTCTTGAGATCCAGGTCGTCCCAGTGGAGCTTGTCCATGTTCCCCGTCCAGCTATCGTAGACGATGACAACCCTGGCGTCCTGCTTGAGCGCCGGCATGAGCTCGCGGATCAGGAGCTGCTTGCCGTAGTAGTGCAGCGCCATCTTGCGGTCGATGCCCTCGGGCGTCTCGGTCCTGCCGGCCATGGTCATGACGCCCTGCGACATGATGAGGAGGTCGAGCTTGTTCTTTTCTTCGGCGGGCGCGTGTGGCTGCTGCTGCTGCTGCTTGAACTTGTCAGTGAAGCCCTTGATTTCGCGCATCGACGTTGCTTCGATGGGCCGGAATTCCATGTTGGCGTGGGGCATGTTGTCAGGCTGGGTACGGCCGCTTATAACGACGGTCGAGGATGGCGAGGAGGCTGCTACGCGGCATGCCATGGCATAGCCGATGCCGCTTGTGCCGCCTACCACTAGAGCTTTTGTTGCCATGATTGTATGATCTAACCCCCAAGTATCTAGTTTTTAGGTACGGTGGGATGAAGTTGTGACACTTTTCCAGGTGCAGCAGCCGTGGGGGTTTGGTCAGCTTTGGCCTGAGGCCCTTCTTCGTATTTATAGCAGAATGTTCCCGATACACGGTACATCAGGAATGTCTTATTTTGTTTGCGCCGACTCTCCCAACATTCTGATTCGTCCTGACCCTTTCCTTTATCCGGTCGCTTACATGAGGGCCACTGCCAACTAACAATGCACAGTGCACAGGTGAGACCAGGTGCGTTGCGGGGCGCCCACTTGTCTTGTCATCCATAGATGCCTGCCCGATGGGTTGGAACGGGGTTTGATATAATATTGCCAATTGGTCTAGGGGCCGAGCTACGCTAAGAGACGCGTCTGTAAGCCAACTAGGACATGTGTTCAAGTGTCTAGATATCTATCGGAATGAAAGATATCGGGTGACTGCATCGTCGGATTTATGGTTCTTCATTGACGACCGTCCATCTAATGGAATCACCTCGACAAGATTCCAGAGGCAACTGGTCGACTTTTCCTTTGTCCTACTTAGTGAAAAGTAATTCGGAAACCCTTTGAGTCTAGACTCATCAGCGGTACGATCAAGTCGTGTATCATTTTGACATCCATTTCGCCTGTCTCGTACAGTTCGAGCCGGGGACCTTGAGGACGAAATAAAGCAGAGAGAACATAGTTGATCTCGGCGTATGCGAGACTATTTAGACACGGTCAGAAGATGAGCAGGGTTAGAGTTGATGTGGTAGTTAACATACTTTTCTCCCAGGCAATGCCTCGAACCCTTGGAAAAAGGGACAAAATTGCGCCTCATTTCGGGCGTGACATCGCCGAGCCACCGCTAGGGGAGGAATTCCTCGGGACATTGGAAGATTTCAGGATCGCGATGGCAGAAGTATGCGGACATGCCCACAGGGACGCCAGGCGGGATGGTCCAATCCTTGAATTGGAGAGCCTGCTGAGGAAATACTCGCGTACGTCAGTGCGTGGTGCCGTAGCTCAGACTATATTTCAGTTAGCACCACCCTCAGCTGTTTTCCATCAAGGACCCAAGGCTTGGGGATGGACTTTTCTCTTCACATACCGGAAAACCTCCTTGATAACTGCCTGGAAGTACGTCGCTTGTTCCAGCTCGGCCTAAGTCGGCTGCCTGCGAAGGTAGTCCGCCATGATGGACGCCAGCTCTTCTTCCAGACGCTTCTTGATGTGGGGTTTGGCCATGACGTAGTAGGTAATGAAACACATTGTTCCAGCCGTGGTAATGGTTCCAGCTCCGATGAGAACTCGGGCTTCCTTGGATAGGCGATCGTCGTCCAGTTCAGACTGTGGGAGGTCGCTGTTGAGGAGGTGGCGGAAAATAGTCGGGCGGCCGCTCAACAAACCGCCGCCTTTGGATCCGAGGGCTGCCTTTTCTTCGTTGACAGAAGCGAGTTGGTCATCACAGAACTATCCACGTTGGTTAGCAAGCAGCCTCAACAAAGTAGCTTCTAAGCTGAGAGAAGAAGAAGAAAAGGCTTTGTAGTGACCTGTTTGAAATCGTTAAAGATCTGGGCCGCGGGGCTCAGCTTTGCCCGAAGGCTCATGGGGACTAGCCGAATGAGGCTGCAGAGGTCAGTCTAGAATCAATTTCTGCCTGAAGGCCCACCTGCCCGCGATACAACGGTCCGACCAAGTACAATGAGCTGCAGATGCTTCGAGGCAAGCATGGGCTTGCGAAGTACCCGGGCCGTTGGTCGCCAGATCACAAGGCCAACGGGGTCAACGAGCACAAGACCAACGGAGTCAACGGTGATGGTTCCGGAAACAAGAGGAAGAGGGACAGCGTCGAAAACGGACTGGGGAGGAACGGGACCGATGGCGCCAAGAAGCCGGCGCCGGCATCCATCTCACCTACGACTCCGCCCGAAGATGTGAGGCAACTGGTTCGCGATTGCCACTTGCCCGACTTGAGCGACAGCGCAAGTTCACCCTGCCGTTCTCCCAACGACGTTCATACCTCAACTGACAGAACGCCTGCAGGTTATGCTCCAGCCATATCGATACGTGACCTCTCTTCCTTCCAAGGGCTTCCGAGAAAAGGCCATCGAGTCCATCAACAAGTGGCTCCGAGTACCTCCCAAGTCGGTCGATGCTATCCAAGAGGTCGTAAGGATGCTGCACAATGCATCTCTTATGTCAGTCCCTCGCTGTTGCTGTTATTATTGTTGCTCTTTCTTCCCAACCTGCTAACACAAATCCTAGGCTGGACGACATTGAAGACAACTCCCCGCTGCGCCGCGGAAGACCATCAACTCATAACATTTACGGCACATCCCAGACCATCAACAGCGCCACGTTCCAGTATATCGCCGCCACGGATCTCGCGAGCCGCCTGCCGAACCCGGAGAGCTTCCGCGTCTTCCTCGACGAGGCGCGGCTGCTGCACCTGGGACAGAGCTACGACCTCTACTGGACGCACAACACGCTCTGTCCACGGGTCGCCGACTACCTGGAGATGGTCGACATGAAGACGGGCGGCCTGTTCCGCACCCTCACCCGAATGATGACCGCCGAGAGCCCCGTCGGCGGCGACAAGCTCCCCAGCGGCGGCCTCGACCTGTTCAGCTGCCTCTTTGGCCGTTACTTCCAGATCCGCGACGACTACCAGAACCTGGCCTCGGCCGACTACGCCAAGGCCAAGGGCTTCGCCGAGGACCTCGACGAGGGCAAGTACTCGTTCGCGCTGATCCACTGCATCCAGAGGAAGCAGAGCGTCTTTCCTCTGCAATGCAGAAGCTGTTATTCACCAATACGCGAGGATTTGAGCCCCACACTGAGGCGAGCCTGAGTTAGGACGGCAACAAAGCTAGCCGGATTAGGCTAAAAAAGCCTCGCCCAATCAGTGAGACAACCAGCCATATCCCGACGGCGAGGTCCCGGACCCGTCAATCACTATCTGTAAAACACGCGCACGACGGGGGACGACGGCCGTTCAAAAGAGACCAGTGTCACGCCCACGAGTCGTGCCTTCCGCATTACTGTACGTTGCGGGAAGAGATCCCGCCGCGACCAACAAAGCATCCGTATCAAAGTGAACAGCAAGGCCCAATAACAGTAAAAAGAAAAAGTGCGGCCATGCCCGAGGACCGTTTCAGACCGGCGCTGATCGTCGTCGACTTCCAGGAGGATTTCTGTCCGCCGGTAAGTACATGTTCTCTAGGCTGCCCCGCTCCACCCCTTTCGTCGCATCCCGCGGCCTCGCGGGGAGGGGTTGGGTTGGCAAGTTGTTGCGTCCATGACTGACGTCGACTCGAGCATGGCTCACTCGCCGTGGCCACTGGCCGCGACATCCATCCGGTCGTCAACGCGCTCCTGCGTCTGCCGTTCGTGACCAAAATCGCTACCAAAGACTGGCACCCCAGTGATCACATCTCGTTTGCCTCCAACCACGAGGGCAAGGAGCCGTTTGTCGACGCCATCGACATCGCCAACCCGCGCAACAGTGCCGAGATTTTCCGCACGCGGCTGTGGCCGGTGCACTGTGTGCAGGGAACGCCCGGCGCAGCCCTGGTGCCCGAGTTGGATGTCTCGGCTATCGACACCGTTCTGGAGAAGGGCCAGAACAAGGACGTCGAGATGTACAGCGCCTTCTACGACCCCTTCCAGTCGCCGCGGGTGTCGGACAGCGGACTCGCTTCGGCGCTCAGGGCCAAGGGCATCACGGACGTCTATGTCGTCGGCTTGGCTGGCGACTACTGCGTCAACTGCACTGCAGTGGATGCGAACAAGGAAGGCTTCCGGACCTTTGTCGTCGAGGAGGGCACCAGGCCGGTGGATGCCGAGGAATGGATCAAGTGCAAGGACGCCCTGAAGGCCAGCGGGGTCAAGATTGTCAGCATTGAGGGTCCGGAGGTCCGGAGGGTTGGAACGGCTGGACGGGGATGAGGGGCCGACACAGAGTCCTTCTCTCCCGTCTAATTCGTCTTTTCGTCCCGACTCGAGAGAGCTTCCGAGGAGGGGAGGCCGGAGGTGCGCTTCTTATTTCCCTTTCTGCATAGGGCCATGAGGTCAAGTTGGATACCACGTGTTTCACACCGGTACGAATGCGCAGTACTGCGGTCCTAGCCAATGTAGGTAGATAGTTTTGATGGTGAGTGCCTACTTACACATTGGAGCCCAGTATCGCAGTGTCTCGCCCACCCCTCCGGATCCCAGAGTTACATATCACAACGAGCAGACCCTTTTTCATGGGCTTCACCCCACCTGCGCCGCAGAGGTGTTCAACTATGCTTGGGTGGGTGGAGCGTCGGCGGGTTGGAAGAGGAATCGGTGAAATTGACTCGGCGGTAGGGGACCATCAGCTGAGCCCCCATGCAGGCGCAGCAGAGAGAGCCAGTACCTATCTGCATCATACTACACGTCGTGGCATAGTGATATGGTCCGCAATTGTCAGCGTCTACACTACAATATACGGATGCACATAGCAGCATTGGAGAAAGGATGAGTTAAACTGATACATGTCTGAAAAAGGATCGGGGGGAGGAAGGAGGGTCGCCGAAGTCAGCGGGCACTAGGCAGGGACTGTTGCATCATGTCGAATCGGGGCTGCAAGAGGGGCACACAGTCCATGGGAAAAGGAAGTGGACTCGAGAAACACAGGCAACGGGCCTATCAATGCCGAGCAATATCTGGGGGAGAGGCGATGACTCGGGTCCAGCATGGTGAAAGGATGGATGGGATGGACCGAAGTTGGTGGTGGCATGGGAACACTGTGCATGATGCGAAGCGAAATGATATGAAGGTAGGAACGGGCCTCCTTGTGTCTCTTGCCTGGCCTTATCGAACCTCCCAGGTCCGGTCGAGGAAGGAAGGAAAGGAACCCCACCCTTCTCCAATGGAAGAAAGAGCGGACGTGCTGACCGCATGGATGCAGTCAGAGGAACCCGCCGCAATTCCCAGGGATGGCATCCCTTGCCATTCCGGATGCAACCCTCTGCACCTTCCAATTGCCTCGTCTCGACTCGATACCGTACCTTCACCGGTCAGATTGCCCTAAGCCGAGTCCGCCAGCTGCCGTTTCCCACCTTTCTGGCACCTGGCTGCTGAGACCCGCGTTGTTGGGTACCTAGGGTAGCTTTCAGAAACCACCGATGAAGAAGGGACGCAATGTAACAAGCCGATTTTCTACCTTGCCTTACGGCGACCGCCTTCAGTATCGGTTGCGTGATGATGTCGTCTATAAAGATCAGAGACCCATGGTCTCCTTCTATATGCTTACTTACGGACTAGTCTGGTAGAATGGATGGATGATGCATAGACCAGAAGAGAGTCTGTCGCGCCTCCGGCTGACGTGACTTGATGTTTCCTGATCGGGAGAAGGCAACCGCGTCATCGATAATAAACACAAATGGGACAAGCAGGCTTTGGGATTCGCAACCTTGAGGAGTATGTACCATGATATGTGACGTTATGGAACTCCAATGCCAGAAGAACAACCCCCTTCTGTGAACAAAAGATAAACACTATCTGGTGTGTATACCATGTATGCTACTAGAAGCATCCAGCCAGCGGGTAAGACGGGACGCGCCATCTGTGCGGCGATGCAGGTGCAGCCCACCTAGTTAGCCCAGTCCCCTGTGTGGCGTACCTATGGCTTCCCAGTGACACATGCCACTCACTGGAGCCTGCGTCCAATGGGTCGGCACAGCTCCACACTAGCGTCCCGGCCTGCCTGGCCTCTTCCCAGCACTGGAAAATGTGCTTTGGCGGAATGGCGACAGCTTGCTGTGGCCTGTGGCGGCTGCAACCGGTACCCCCAGCGTTCATCGTGCCTGCCCTGGATGTTCAGGAACAGTGACCACAACGTGCAGTACTTAGGTAAGTACCTCTCTGTAGAGGCAGTAGGTACGTACAATGTACCTACCTCAACTGGCCCTGTGCGCTCCCGTCGGTCCACATTTACTTTTTCCCTAATCTGGCCACAAAGAGTTAGTTCTATTGTGCATCACCCAGTACGGATCATCGTCGCTAACTTCCCCTTTGCTGGGCAAGACCACGTCCTATTCATTCAACTCGTCCGATTTATCAACATGTTGGGCATATTCGCCCAAGTTGCCGTTTTTTGTTTCCCCTCTCTCGACATCGGGGGTAACTGGGGAATGTCCAGCACGTACACTTACTGGCAACCGTTGTCTCTCATCGCCGCCCGCGGGACGCGCCAACAAAATCCCAGCCCCGACTTACCGGGATTATTATCATCATGGCAATTTCTTCCCTGTTGTGGATCTGCAAACCACCTACCTGGCGCCGTGTACTTCCGGATGTGGTGTGTGAGAGGAGGTACTTGACTCCCCACCAATTTACTTCGCAGTGGGCTGGTATTCGCTCTTGTCTGATCTGCCGCTGCTCTTGTACAGGGTACGTACTGGTGCGCACTCTCTCGCTGGTGGTGGTGGTGGTGGTGGTGGTGGTGGTGTGCCATCGACCAGCATTCGAGACTATCTCGACCAGCACTCGCTTTTATTATTGTTTTAACTTTCGTCTTCACCTACCGCTGAATGCTTTCCTTGTGCCCCCTTCTGCTGTTCTTTGCGGAACTCTCATACATCCTAGCGGCTTCTCCCTCGGTCGTCTTGTTGTTTCCCCGCCACCCCCAAATCCCGAGGACACTCGTCGTGCCTGAGGTCCTTACTAGTAAGCTCCTTCGTCCCAACCCAGCTGTGGGGTCTCCAGATCCTTACCCATCTAAAAAGGTACTTACTCGGCTGCCCGTTGTATCGCGAGGTTCTTATTTTTATTGCTCCTCTCCTTTATCTCTCTCTCTCTCTCTCCCTCCTCTCCCTCTTCCTCCCCCCCTTTGCAAGGCCTCCTCTTCAACAGGAACTGCGCAACCAATCCACTCTCGCTCGCCCTTCCGAGCAGAGCACTTCAACGGCTCCTTGCGACTTCGGCTCTCCGCGACCACCATCCTCGATCTCCGATACTGTGTCGCGATCCTTTTTTAATTACCCCCCCTTTTCCCAAAACTTGACCCTCGTGCGTGAAGCCTGGAAGTCATCAACTAGTTGTGTGAGTTTTGAACACTAGAGACGTCAACGGCGTCTGCTTCTCAACCGGTGCGACACTCCTCTCTCCAATTGGCGGCGAGCGAGCGCATCCCCCACAGATCGTCCGCGTCGCCAAAATTCCTCAACCCAAATTCCTGCTCCGTTTCCTCCCCTTCTCCCCCCTCGACGTCTACTTGCGCACTTAACCCCCTCGAGGACCGACATCATGAACTTTGTTGCCATCGATTGCTGACTTCTGAAACCTCAGGATTCGTCCCGTTTTCTTCTCCTCGGCCGTTATACCCCAAATGCCTTCCTAATAGACCATCTTGATACACCGCAACTTTCGCCATGATATCCTCAACACTTCTGCCCCGCCGCTTTCGCGGTGAGCAGCCCGCCGCGCCGCCCGCTGCTCCCTCCTGGGTGAACAAGAAGATCACGCCTGCCCTCCAATTCCTCTCCAAGCTCGCCTGCTCTCACCCGATCCACACCGTCGTCATTGTCGCAGTCTTGGCCAGCACCTCGTATGTTGGTCTGCTGCAGGAGAGCTTGTTCGATGCCACCATTAGCGTCCGTACTGCCGACTGGTCCTCCCTTCTCGAGGGCAGTCGGATACTCCACGCCGGCCCCGAGACGTCATGGAAATGGCAAAACGTCGAGCCCGACGCCTCCATCTCCGGCGACGTCGACCACCAGGCCCTCCTGACTCTCGTTTTCCCCGACTCCCAGTCTCCCGAGTCCGCCAATACCGCCCCACGCACCCATGCTGTCCCGATTCCTCAGAACTTGTCCATCACCTCGCTGCCTTCGACCTCTAACTCCCTGACGAGCTACTCCCAGGACAGCGCCCTCGCCTTCTCCGTTCCCTACTCCCAGGCCGCCGAGTTCCTGTCCGTCGCCCAGGAGATTCCCGATGCTACTAGCGACGAGATCGAGACCAAGCACGGAAAGGAGAAGAAGATGTGGATCATGAAGGCCGCCAAGGTCCACACCCGCAATAGCTTTGTTCAGTGGGCTCGCAATGGCTGGACCGAGTTCCTTGACCTCCTCAAGAACGCTGAGGCTCTCGACATCTTCATCATGGTGCTCGGCTACCTCTCGATGCACCTCACCTTTGTCTCTCTGTTCCTCTCCATGCGCCGCATGGGTTCCAACTTCTGGCTCTTCACTAACGTGCTCTTCTCCTCCGTCTTCGCCTTTCTTTTTGGCTTGCTCGTCACTACCAAGCTTGGTGTGCCAATCACCATGGTCTTGCTCTCCGAGGGCCTGCCCTTCTTGGTTGTGACTATCGGCTTCGAGAAGAACATCGTTTTGACCCGTGCCGTTCTTTCTCACGCCATCGAGCACCGCAGGCCGCAGGCCAGCAAGCAGGACAAGAAGTCCAACAAGTCGGACGTTTCGTCCCCCAACGTTATCCAGTACGCTGTCCAGGCCGCCATCAAGGAGAAGGGCTATGAGATCATCAAGGACTACGCCATTGAGATCGGCATCCTCGTCCTCGGTGCTGCCTCGGGTGTCCAGGGCGGGCTGCAGCAATTCTGCTTCCTCGCTGCGTGGATTCTCTTCTTCGACTGCGTCCTCTTGTTTTCCTTCTACACTGCCATTCTGAGCATCAAGCTTGAGATCAACCGTATCAAGCGTCACGTCCAGATGCGTCGCGCTCTCGAGGATGACGGTGTCAGTCACCGCGTCGCCGAGAACGTTGCCAAGAGCAACGACTGGCCTGAGTTCAACGGCAAGGCCCCCAAGGAGGCTTCCCTGTTCGGCAAGCAGATGAAGAGCAGCAACGTACCCAAGTTCAAGGTCATCATGGTCAGCGGCTTTGTCCTGATCAACGCCATCAACATTTGCACCATTCCCTTCCGAAACTCCAGCTCTCTGCCCAGCCTGGCTTCCCTGACTGGCGGCCTCAGCGCCGTCGTCACCGCTCCTCCTGTCGACCCCTTCAAGGTCGCCTCGAACGGCCTAGACTCCATCTTGGAGTCTGCCAAGGCAGGCGAGCGCCCGACCGTTGTCACTGTTCTTACCCCTATCAAGTATGAGTTGGAATACCCCTCCATCCACTACGCCCTTCCTTCTCCTGCCAGCAAGTCCGGCCATAAGCTCGATGATGAGTATGACCACTTCGACAGCTACGGCGTTGGCGGCCGTATGGTTGGCAGCATCTTGAAGAGCCTGGAGGATCCCGTTCTTTCCAAGTGGATCATTGTTGCTTTGGCTATGAGTGTCGCCCTGAACGGCTACCTTTTCAACGCGGCGCGATGGGGCATCAAGGACCCCAACGTTCCCGACCAACAGATCGATCCCAAGGAGCTGGCCCGCGCCGAGAAGTTTAACGATTCCGACTCGGCCACCCTGCTCCTTGGCGAGTACATCCCTCCCACTCCGAAGCCGGTGACGCCGGCCAGCACCGACGATGAGTCGGAGCCGGCCATGACCCAGACCAAGTCCTCTGATGAACTGTCAAGCCCGGTTGAGAAGCGCACTGTTGCTCAGCTGGAGAAGATGATTGCCGAGAAGCGCGTCCACGAGATGACGGACTCGGAGGTGGTCACCATGTCCCTCCGCGGCAAGATTCCCGGTTACTCTCTTGAGCGCGCGCTCAAGGACTTCACTCGTGCTGTCAAAATCCGCCGCTCCATCATTTCCCGCACCAACGCCACCTCTGACCTCACCAACGGCCTCGAGCGGTCCAAGCTCCCGTATCAGAACTACAACTGGGAGCGCGTTTTCGGCGCCTGCTGTGAGAACGTTATTGGTTACCTACCCCTTCCCGTCGGTGTCGCCGGCCCCCTTGTCATCGATGGACAGAGCTATTTCCTCCCCATGGCTACTACTGAGGGTGTCTTGGTTGCCAGTGCCAGTCGCGGCTGCAAGGCCATCAACTCTGGCGGCGGTGCTGTCACTGTTCTTACTGGCGACGGGATGACTCGTGGACCTTGTGTCAGCTTCGAGACCCTCGAGCGCGCTGGTGCTGCCAAGATCTGGCTCGACTCCGAGGTTGGTCAGGCCGTCATGAAGAAGGCCTTCAACTCAACTAGCAACTTCGCTCGTCTTCAGTCCATGAAGACTGCGCTCGCTGGCACCAACCTGTACATCCGCTTCAAGACGACCACCGGTGACGCCATGGGTATGAACATGATTTCCAAGGGTGTCGAGCACGCTCTCTCTGTCATGGCGTCCGAGGGCTTCGAGGACATGAGCATCGTTTCGGTCTCTGGCAACTACTGCACGGACAAGAAGGCTGCCGCTATCAATTGGATCGACGGACGTGGAAAGAGCGTCGTTGCCGAGGCCATTATCCCCGGTGATGTTGTCAAGAACGTGCTCAAGAGTGACGTCGACACCCTCGTCCAGCTCAACGTTGACAAAAACTTGATTGGATCCGCCATGGCTGGTTCGGTCGGTGGATTTAACGCTCATGCCGCCAACATTGTTGCCGCCATCTTCCTTGCTACGGGCCAAGACCCTGCGCAGGTGGTGGAGAGTGCCAACTGTATTACCATCATGAAGAAGTGAGTTTACGCTTCCATTTGCTGTGACATTCAGTGAATACTGACCTTGCCCAGCCTCCGTGGCTCCCTTCAAATTTCCGTTTCCATGCCGTCTCTCGAAGTCGGTACCCTCGGCGGCGGCACCATCCTTGAGCCCCAAAGCGCCATGCTTGACATGCTCGGTGTTCGCGGCCCCCATCCCACGACCCCAGGCGAGAACTCGCGCCGTCTTGCTCGTATCATCGCTGCCGGTGTTTTGGCTGGTGAACTGTCGCTGTGCAGTGCATTGGCAGCTGGCCACCTTGTAAGGGCCCACATGCAACACAACCGTTCTGCACCGCCTACGCGGTCCACAACTCCGGCTCCGGCCAGCGGTAGCATGACACCCGTCGGCCTGTCCATGACCAACGCCGCTGAGAAGGCGGCCAGCAAGAGTGCGGCGGCGGTTGAGCGGGCGCGTCGTTGAGTTCGATGAGTTGCTGTATATAGGCAAAACACGATACGAAAACATAATTACGGAGTTTTTTTAAAGGGGATAGAGCAAGCAACACATGGCGATCAACATGCAGAATTTTCGCATACGCTGTATTGCGCTTTCTGTAGCAGGAAGAGGAAAATCATTGCCCCTCGCGAAAGGGTGCGCTGGCTACGCCAGCTTATATGTATGTTATAACGATGGGCTGCTTACGTGTGAGACTATGGGGCCCAGACAGGTATATATTTGACTGTATACACACTACACCCCTTTAATATAGTTGAACTATTTCTACCATCTATATCTAGGCAGGCCCCTATCATGCCATATGTAGAATCAGATACATATGAGCTTCTTTTGTCCCAGTCTGTCTAGTCTAGTTTTTCTATTGTTATTGCTGTGAATTGTGGTAGACTA